GCGTTGAAACCAAGTATTGTGGTTGCGGTATAAGCACATTGTGTTCTGAACACATGTCGCCGATAAATTTTAAACGAGCAAGAAAAAGAGATCTGGGGACTACGCGGGCAGGTTAGCGCCTTCAAATTGCCACAAGCTGGTGGCATGTATATCTAGCATGCATAGAAGATACAGGTAGGATATGCTGAGGGTTCCAGTTCAAAAACAATATTTTTCGCAGTCGTGTTTGAGTACAATGAAAGAAATACTCACAAACAATTATGGTGGTTACATTAAGACCATAATATATAATAAAAAGTGGAAAATACGCAGGCACAGTCATTTTGGCGCAAGCTGTGAGTAAGCAGTGCCAGGAAAAAAAGGCGCATATGAATAAAAAAATGATTAATAAACATATTATAAATATAATAAAAAAATAAAGAAACATCGAAATTAAATTTATGTACACATAGCAACATATTTTGATGCTTTGCGCCTACTGTTTCAACTTACTGGTTCCACTGAGCTCTGAGTAGGGGGATACTTTTTCTTCACACGAGTTCATTTGCATGAGGACACAAAGCAAGTTCTCTTCTTTCTTTTTAGAAAATGTGCGTTCGCGCGATTAGAAAGATATTCAGTTGTACGCGAACATAATGCGAACTATTCAAGACGCAGCTGGGAATGAAATTGCAACAGCTACAAAAATATCGCTATCGGATCATCCAAGTCCAACAGGAGACGGCTGCCCTCACCCGAGCTCCTCAATGTCATTAATTTTCGTTAGCGAAAAATACGCAGGCATGATATTTTCCCCATTTTTTTCGGCGCCACTCATTGACTTGTAAATAATACGAGCTCGCTATGAGGAGCGTCATCGTTGCGTTGAGTTTTCTGTGTACGCAGCAGGAATATAATGAGACGGCCGCAACATAGCGTAGTGGTTACGGGGCTCAGCTGCTGGCCCGATGGACCCGGGTTCGACCCCCGAACAAGGCGGCTGCATTATGCGAGAGGCCCGTGTGCCGTGGTATGTCAGTGCACGATAAAGTATACCAGATGTTTCTTATCTACTTCTTTTTTCGGTATATCTTTCCGGCACCAACAAATCGAGCCTGTAATTATCAAATGAAACATCCACCTTCTTACAAGTGCGTGTGTCCGGGGATGAGAGGTAAGGTTCGTTGGTATACGCGATTAAAGGAAACGATGGGAAAAACTTTGGTGGATCTCACACATAGCGGTAATCGAGTTCATGCGTCGCTATAGATTTTGTGCTTCGAGCAAAGCGTTACGAAACGTGGATGTAAGCCTTTGAGTTAATTGAGTGGTTTGTCAAATTGAGGGCTCACGAGCGATGTGGAATTCACTGGCGCCTAAAAGCTAGCGCATGAACTTTTTGCACAATGGATAACCCACTCTAAAGTACATACGCAATTTTAATCGAATGAACTGCATGCTATGGTACTTGCAACACATGAAATGTTTAAGTATAGAGACATAGTATGTAGTGTATGCGTATAACACTTATTGCATTGTTATCAAAGCAGGTAGCCAACACCACAACCACTATTGGTGTTGCTGTAACAGCACTACTAAAATCCTCTTCAACAACAAGTGGGGCTCTGTCATAGGTCACTCCGTATGCATATTTACGTTATTTTCATTGTTTGCGTCTATTGAAATTTTTCGGGAAACAGGCATCTGATTCATAATGTGCGTGTGGCCAAGCATCGGCGGTGAGCTACCGCTTGCGCTACAGAAAGACAGCGTGAGTCTGCGGCGAGGGTAGCGACCGAGTCTTTGAGGCAACTGCAGCAGCCGGGAACCAACAGAGAGACCACATGATTCAAGCGAGAATTCCTCGACAAGGCACAAACGACATCATGGTAACACAAAATACCATTGGAGGATGTCATTTTTTCTGAAGGACCTACGGCGACGAGGAAAAGCGTGCAGTAGATCGTGATGGCTTTCCGGCGAGACACTCGGCTGAGTGACATTTGGTGACTAACCCCTTTAATTTAAGAGATGCTCAGGCAGAAAACTTGCCGGCATTTTAGGCCAAGCTAACCGCGCCTTTGCAACACACAATACAAACCACACAAAGTGACGAAAACGCCGAGTGAACGCACACGGAAACTAAGTGTGCACATCCAATTCTGCTTCGCATCCCCTTATGGTTCCCTTTAGGGAAAGATGGTGTAATTTTTTCAACGCCTTTTCGTTTCATTAATGATGGATCTGAAACATCCACGTATCCACGAAGTGAATGCTGATGATGGGGTGAAACAGTATAAATCAAACCGTGAATCGTGGTCTTCAATATTGTTCTGGTTAACCGCCTTTTGTTCCTGTTAAACCTTTTGTGCTGTCATATGCTTTGATTGATTGGTCGTGAAATGTCGGTGTTTCTCCGGTGCTGTGACCTTTCATTTCGTTTCTTCTGGTTAACAGTCTTTTGACAACATTTTTGTTGTTCACGGATGTTTTGGTTTCTACATCTGCTGTAGACGCCGGGCGGCGGTCGAAAGACGGAGGGACGTTGTGTGGTCTTAAGTCGCTTCACCCCTAAAATCAATCTCCACGCTCTGCCTAAGTGCTCGGTGGTATCTCACGTAAAAGAGCTTACAATGAAACGAAGCATTTGCACTTCTAATGAATGTAATATTATTGGCGAAACAATTTTTTCAGTAATTGTCGTACAAGAGCCAAAGGTCTTAACAGTCTCGATGGTCTCGTGTGAAGGACATAAGTGAGCACGGTGATACAGGTGTGAGGATGCATTTGCAGACACACCAGAGGTTTTAATATAGTGCCCTCACAGGTAATCTCACAGACTATCTATATGTACCGCGAAAAATGACGATGATATGTGGGGTTGAACGGCCCAAAACCACCATATGATTGAGAGACGCCGTAGTGGAGGGCTCCGGAAATTTCGACCACATGGGGTTCTTTAACGTGCACCTAAATCTGACCCCACGGGCCTACAACATTTCCGCCTCCATTGTACCGCGAAACATATCGGTCAGGAAGTTCTGAACACCAGGTGAAAGCAAGCAAGCTTTTTTGAGTGGACATACATACATATAACATCTAACTTGGCTGCCTACACATTTGAATTCGAAATTGCATTTTCTTAACACAAAAACCTACATTCAAGAAATTGCATGGAGTCTCAAATTTCTGGTCAATAAAGGTCGGAGGGTGGGGAGGTCTCAGAGCAGCTGAAACCCTGATGACTTCAAGCACTGAACCCGCGCGGCTGGCTATTTATAACGTGACAAGACTAATAGACTCCAGGAAGACGTCGTTTCATTGGTGACAGCACACATGTGCCCTGATGTGATCATTGCCCTAATATAGTCTGTAGACAGCGGTGAGATAAATTGACAGGTTTTTTTATTGGACCATAATTAAAGACAACTCTGGCGAGTTGTCCATTTGGTTGTTGTGTAAAGTTTTCTTTCTTGTGTCTACTTTTTTTTTCTTTGCTTGTTGCCCAGCAGCTCACCAGGCATGTCACAGCATGTCATCGTAATGAATGTAGTCGTCAAAAAATGGACAGACAGAAGACGCATTTTATTTCAACACTCTTTTGTCATTTTTGTCTCTATTGGGCACTCACAGTTCAAATGTCAAGACAACATCCTTGAGCTTCGCTTTCTGACTTCACCGGCGACACGGAGCATTTCAGTGACACATTGTATGAATCTGGCTCCGTGGTATGTTTCCACAATAAGGTTGGGTCAGCAAAGAAACCTGGAGAGTTTATGATCGAGCGCCACGTATAGAAAGTAGCTTTGTACTAGCGCGCATTATAAATAAAGATGGTGCACGAACAGAATGGAATGAAATATGAAAACACACAAGGCATATGACAAATGCCTGGAACAAAATGGCATCAATCGATGAAATGGGTGATAGTAATGTTTATAATTTTTTCATATCCTTTCAGATCAATGCCTTCCTCGCGCATTTGTAACGTCTATTCATCGCTATGCGTTGCCTATAGCCAAGCAGTACTCTGACAATGACTTTAATTCATGAATATGGTAAAAAAGTGACTGAGAAAACAGTAGAAAATTAATTGGCTTCGGTGGCACTTGTTTTCACGTGTGTGAATTGGTAACGGTGCATTGGCAAAGCGACTTGTCCGTAACGAGTGACAAAGCTGTCAGCCAAGAAGAACTACTATGTTATAATATACAGACAAAAAGAAGTACGCCGAAAGTTAACTACAGGAACAGAGGTAACTTGGCTAATAACTGTAACAAATCGCGCAAAGAAATGCAGCCCATTTTCTCGAAAACCAGAGTCGTTGCATACACAATTTGCAATGTGTTTTGCAGAATCGACATCATTCAACTGGCGTGGGACTAGCTTGAATCCACAAGGCCACTGATTTCAACAACACAGCAGAGGAGATTAGCTTTTCACTGTGTGCGAAAGTCCCAAATGCTTTCACGCTCTCTATACGAAAGTGTTGAGAAGTGGTCAAATAGGCAACGACACCGGAGAGAACTAGCGACAGGGGGACTCTTTAGTAAAGGCTACAAAGGTTACTGCCATAAATAAATGTCCTCCCACCCCCTGTTTAGAATGGTGGCTCCACCACCATACTTGTTCGACGACTTTCGATACCATCAAGCCTACGTCTTCCAGTGAACGTCCGTCCTGCTTTGAGATCCAACTTTCAAAGGAGGACGAGAAATGACTGAACGAACGTGAAGGAATTTCAGGCTCTCCGCTACGCCACCGTCTGAAGGTAACAACCACAAGCCCCAGTGAAGGCATCTCATATTTTGAGAAGTGCTCTTTCTAGGACTACAGATAACTTGACCGCATGTCCTCACCTCAAAAAAAAAAAAAAAGTTACGGTGTGAAAAATGAAAACTTCGTAGCTTCTAAAAAAAAAAAAACGTTTCAACACTCAGGTGCATAACCACGTGACTTTCAAGAGAAAGTGCGACGCGTTCTTAAAAGGAATCTCATCGCCCCCCCCCCCCCTCAATTCTGTAGCTTTGCGCTCAAAGCCAGTTCTAAGTCATTTCTTATGTTTCGACCTAGCGCAGCAAGGGACATGGGCAACAGAGAGAGACTGGACGTACAGCGACACATCATGCTACTAAAATCGCTCAATCCTCGTCCAACAGAGCCTCGTGGCCTGACGTTAGCAACCGTAAACGCAGATGCACCAAGACTGTGTCGCGTTCTGCCGAGGAACTCGTGTACCGGGGGTTCGAAAGGAGTGTCTGTGCCTACGCACACGTTGAGGCGACCGGGGTGGACGCCAGTGATATGGAATCAGTAGCGACCACGTGCTAAAGGTTGTTGACGCTGATGATCTGGTTGATCCAGCCGATGAAGGCGGACACCTTAACGTAGACACCCGGCACGTCAGGTCGGCCGCAGCCGAATCCCCAGGACACCAGACCAGCCAACTCGTAGAAGCCGTCCACCAGGCACACCATGGGCCCGCCACCGTCACCCTGGAGCGCAAGGAGAAAGCGAGGATTTCATGGTTTACTGAAAAGATAACCTCTTCCCTCGACTTGTTCACTTCATATATTAACTGACTAGCTTGTTCTACGGGTTTCTCATTGTGATTGATAACCAGAGTTTGTGGATCCAAGACTGCTGTTTGAACTCGAAGACACTGAGTGTGATAACAAATTATTACAAATAATGATTGCTGCACCATTAATTACTAATCCAATAACAGCCTTTTATAACAGCAACATTGTTTCGATAAAAGTAGCTAACCAAGACTGGCAAACCTTCGCGACAGCATTCAACATATTAGTCGTCATATTGCTAATACAAGTAAACATCGTACAGTAGTTAGCCAGCAGCCAGAGATACTCATCAGTAACAGCAGGGGCGTAGCCAGAAAGTTTTTCTGGGACGGGGGAAAAAGGGGAGTTCAGCTACCCTTTGAATATGTTCCGTACATGTGTTTTTGTGTGGGAAAAAATTGTGAATTTCTGGAAATTATGTTATAACATTCCCATCCCCGCCTGGACGACAGTTTAACCAGTCCTGCCTGGTTTTATGCAAATAAAATTGGTAGTTAGCAAAAGAAACTTTGGCATATACTTCAGGCAAAAATTATCGCCCACACCGTGGACGCCATATACGATTAGATAATGTAGGTGAAGAAGGCTCGTGCAGACGCTGTCTTGTAAAAATAGCTCAGAGCGAAAACTTTGCATCGCTTCTTGCGTACGCAAGGTCTACAGCGTCGCCGTTCACGTTGTCCAGTACTTCTGCTTGACTGATTGACAACCGAATTGTGACGGATCTATCTCGTCAAGGATATGTGACTGGAATGTGGTCACGTGCTAACAGTCCATAGCAGCGCAGATAAAAAAAAATGTTTTGTCTGCGAAACCGCCAAACCAGCATCTCACCCCATATCTGCACTTTGATAGCGAAACGCTTCGAGAGCGCGATATAGTTCATAAAACAGCCTCCAGTCTGATAAACATAAGCGGCACTAAAGGGCATCAAAACACGATTAAGTTAACCTGTGTAGAATGTGGAATGACGTTGGGGAGCACAGACAGAGTACCTTTCCTTCATAAGCATTACCGCTTCCTAAAGTAAGCGAAGCTGTTATATATAGGAGATTCCGGCATCATGTGCAATCTGTATATATATATATATATAAAAAAACCGGCACCTGCCAGCGCAAAGAAAAAAAAAGAGAAAAAGCAAACCTCGAAGGTGCGTCAGCCTCTTGCGTACTTATATACACCATTTTGCAATAATTGATGGCCTCCCGATTGCGGGCTTCTCGCCGTTTCATGCAAGGCAATGTGACGTTTAATCAAGGTGGCTTGTCATTGAAATGGCATTGAAATGACATTGAAATGAACGCATGACCATGGTTGTTGCTTGTAGCAACTGAAGTGTGCACGAAAGAGCAATTCACGGCGTGAATGAAAAAAGTAAAGAAGCATTACGCAATGCGTTTGAAAGAAAAAAAAAGGTGGAGATAGAGAGAAGGAAAGAAAGAAAGAAAGAAAGAGAGAAATAAAGAAAGAAGGAAATGGAGAAAAAAGAACGAGAGGGAAAGAAAGAAAGAGAGAAGAAAAAATGAAAAAGATAAAGAAAGAAAAGGGAGAAGAAAGAAAGAACGAGAAAGAAAGAAAAGGAAGAAAAGAAAAAGGGGAATTAAAAGAAAGAAAGAAAGAAAGAAAGAAAGGAAGGAAGGAAGGAAGGAAGGAAGGAAGGAAGGAAGGAAGGAAGGAAGGAAGGAAGGAAGGAAGGAAGGAAGGAAGGAAGAAGGAAAGAAAGAAAGGCATACACATCCCCCCCCCTCCATTTTGCCGGTGGAGCAAGCGAGCCTGAATTTCAGTTTTGTTTTCGGCCAAACTATTACAAACTCGCTGACGAAGATGACAGATAGGTAGGACGATGAAATTAACTGGTTAGTAAGCAACAAAAAATCAGCTAGAAAAAGCCAAGCCTAACTGGAGAGCATTACAGGCCTCCGTCCTGCGATGGTTAAAAAAGATGGTGGTTTTGATGACGATATAACTATCACTCCCGTAATCATCGTATACGTGGTGCCAACCGATAAGTGTGCTAATTGTGGACAATCAGAGACAACTAAGCACGCGTTATTTGAGTGTGTCGCCAATAAGCGTGTATGAAACCTTGTTTCGCGCAACCTTGGAGTTATGGCTACATTATTATTCCAAAGGAATAACGGCATGCTTGCTCAAAATGTACCTAATCTGGAGATATCGGTGCTACAAAGGACGAAAGGAAAGGAGGAAGGTAAAGGAAGGAAGGAAGGAAGAAAGAAAGAAAGAAAGAAAGGAAGGAAGGAAGGAAGGAAGGAAGGAAGGAAGGAAGGAAGGAAGGAAGGAAGGAAGGAAGGAAGGGCAACAAAAGAAGGCAGGGAGGTTAACCAGACACATGCTCGGTTTGCTACCCTACGCTGATGGAATGGGAAAGGGTAGCATAAAAATGAGAGAGAGATAGGGGAAAGTGAAGATCAAGAGACAAAAAGTTGTCAGTCAATGGAGCTAGTTGACAACCACAGGGAGCAGCATTCCTGGTATTACATTGTATTTCTAGAATTGTTTTTTGTTACCTTGTTGAGAAGCTTGATTTAAGCGGCGTTGATGCCTCTTTGAGGCGCTGGCGCACTCGGTTTTTGGTATTACGCAGGAAAAATTTGGAATTTCCGGCAGCGCCGTACTGTGTGAAAGAAAATATACAAGCCATCCTCCCCCCCCCCCCTCTTCATTTTTTTCGTTCTCTTCTTTCTCTTCAGTTTTTTGAAAGGTAATTTGTTTATTTTTCTATAGTTTCGTAGCAGCGCACAGTGTATTATTGAAGTATGTGTAAAATGGCGTATAACGTTTGTGTAAATTATAGGGACGCGATTTTTAACTTTTTAGTGTATAAGTGTCTCTAGTGATTTTATATTAGTTGAATAAACCTTCCTTTGACCAATACCTTAAGCAATTAGAAAGCGCCGTCAGCATTATGTCAGAGTTGAGTCAGGAGGGAACAAGATGCAGTGAGAAAGGGCTCCCGGCACTTTGATTACGCCATGACGCTTCATTTATTGGCGGCGCTTCGTCAATCACAATTCCCTTGATATTTGTGAAGCCCTTGCTAATTTTGCCAACTTAGTCGTCCGTCGTCTCGGAATTATAACACGCGTAAGGTTTGTGGCTACACTTGCTTTTTTTTCCCCTTTGTCCATAGTTCATGAAGTGCTCGAAATATCACGTTCATGCTGTGCCCTGCAGAGCTTTTTTCAAGCAAACGCCCAGAGGGTTATTTCACATGGCCTCTTCGACACTGATAAGCTGACGAAAGAGCCCGTGCATATCTCGAAGCCCCAAAGGCATGCAACGCACGGAAGATCTCGCGTCAGCTGCTCCCACGAGCCATCCCGCTCATCTCGCACTGCAGCTACTAAGTGATCAAACGTAACAGCGCCATTAAGTGAACAACCAAGCTCGTTTATTGGCAACGAGCGTGTTATGCAGAGCAATAGCATTGGTTCTCAATGTTATCTCGACAGCTGATTCTGCCGCAAGACATTTGTTATGGCGCACTTTATTGGCTGCACGTTACATATGTGTAGCTTCATTTGTACACTCTCTTTTGAAGAAGATATGAGCAGTTGTAAAAGCGGCCTATCTTGGGCAGGGGTGACAATCAGCAGGTACCTGCGCTATCTTTCCCTCCGTTTATAACTATGAGAAAGTGGGAGCGTCGTTTAAGTTATTTTAACTTGAAACTGGTTCATTATATAATTATGAATGCCTTCCCTGCTGCTTGTTTTTCTTTATTTGTAAATTATCTGAAAACGTGCAATGACCATGTATCGTTGGGTAGGCTAAAAATAGTACCAAATTATCGTGTTGAGCTTTGTCCAAAGACTCTTTATATTGTGCCGAGTAAGTTTAAAAAGAAGCACGAGATTTTGTCACAAGCAATGATAATATATGTAAAGCATAGGATATGGTGGTTCCCAGATGCGAAGAAAAAGCACGCACTTTTTTTTTAACATGAGACGTCGTCGTAGCGGCATTCGAGATGCCTATTTTGACAAGATACAATTACCTAGCTTGGAGACGTTGAATGAAAAAAATTAAAGAAAACAATTTTATTCACTAATACATTTTGCCATTTTCATAGTGTTCTCAATCGGCATCGTTTTTATCCCTATTCCCTCTCCATTTCTTTGGAAGCAGGTTACTACGCACTTGACTGATGTGTTAGTAGACGCAGCACATCGGTACCGTTGGAAATATTTACTGAATGCATTCTCAAGTATCAGTATACTAGTATAAATAGAAGTAGCTAGTTTACGACGGAGAGTGGCATCCACACTTTCATGGTCACAAGCATGGTCTCCATTCTGTGAGGCTCGTTCACAGAAAGAGAAGCAAAGTAGAAGGCAGTGATTTTAACCAGGTTAGAATATTCGATATGATATGGTACTCCAGTTAGAATATTCGATATATGATACTCTTGGAAAAGAGACGGGGATGTTTAAAAGCTATTGGTGTAAGCAAAAAGATGGACACACTCAGACAAAGAGACACACAATTGCACAGTCCATCAGTATTGTTCGGTATACGACATCACTATTAGATTACAAGGATTTATTTAAGTTTTTTCTCCCGAAAAATCTATTATGCTAACTCACAAGAGGAGTGCTAGAGTGAAAGATGAGAAAGTAAAACAGAAAAGAAGAGAGAGAGCTACAGGTTGTACAAACAAAACATCACAGTCAGTTACATTTGCCACCCAGTGACCCTGCATGCGCTGTATTACTCGTCTGTCTCAACAAACACCAATTTAGGAAGCAACCGCTCGTAACCGGGCCTCCATCGTCCTCATGCTTTGGCCAATTATGAGATAAGCTACCAACATGGTTTTATTTTCCCTGATCTTTGATATAATCGAGATCGTGCGCCACACGACTATTACAGAAGGTAGATCAATGCGGAGC